GGCCTTTGAAATAATAATATCCGGGTTAGAATGAATTTCACGCAATGTAGCTCTTTCTCTCGCAGTTAGATTTGGTTTCAAAGGTTTATTATTGAATTTCACATTATGAGCGATAAGATGCCTAATCATTTCTTCAAGATGATTCAGGAATTTTTGCCGTTTCAGGCGTAATTTAGTGAAACGATTAATGGATGAAGGCATGATAAACAATACAGAAAATCAAACTAAATTAACTAAACAATAAAAGCACACACAAACACAGAAAAATCCCTCACTGAATTAATAGAAACAAAACGTTGTAAGCAAAATGCATGAAATCAACAAGCAAAGCACAATATCCAAATATACAAAATATAAGCATAACTTGAAAATTGCAAAAAAGTACTTACCGAAACTCATGCAATCACAAAATGGCGGCCACACCACGTGCAAAAAAGAAAGCAAAAAGTAAGCCCTGTTTTGGGGCTTCTATAATTAAGACAATAACACGCCGAATAAATTACTAATTCAGAAGTCAAACAACAAAAATCAGCGTATCTTTTTACAATTTTTTTTTTTTTTTTTTTTTTTTTTTTCAGGACTAGTTTTCGATGGTTTTACCGAACCACCATCTTCAGCTGCAAAACCGCAAATGAACAAGATACGAAATAATGATTAGATAAGATAAGAAAGCCTGGCCGTTAATCGTTTCACTAAATTACGCCTGAAACGGCAAAAATTCCTGAATCATCTTGACTTTTTACTTAAATGTAAATGTAGAAAATTGATCCCCAATTTTATTCAAATCAAATCTAATCAAAAACCTTCGAGTCGCGTTTCAAGAATTCTGTTAAATTACAGCTTGCCTTACTTCGGTCCGTCATAAGGGATACACGTCAACAATTGTCCAAAATTGAACGTGAACTCTATAAGCTTCATTTGGAACTCGCTAAATCATATCCAAAATTCACTGCCCTTGAACAAAAGTCTTGGTCTAGAACGGAGAAATGCAGTTAACCGTCATAAAAACACCCTTGCAGTTAATTCGAAAAACTTCTTTTTACAAGTCTTCCAGTTTCAAGTAGTTCAAAAAAATCTTCCCATTGTAAACATCAAGCCAATAGTTAATATTTCTAATGTTAGTCTTTCAGAAGAACAAGAGAGAATTCTAAAATATAATTTTAACTTCTCACAAACCTGTAAACCCTCGATTCCAAAGATTTGGCTCCTATCGAAAAAGCTTTCAAGTTCAGTAAAGTTTCAGATTCACAGAAAGAAATGATTAGGCATCTTATCGCTCATAATGTGAAATTCAATAATAACCTTTGAAACCAAATCTAACTGCGAGAGAAAGAGCTACATTGCGTGAAATTCATTCTAACCCGGATATTATTATTTCAAAGGCCGACAAAGGTGGCCAGATAGTCGTCATGGATAGAACACTTACATCGATGGTGTCACTAAACTCTTAAACGAAGGACCATATAATCCGATCCCTAAAGATCCTTCACCTTCGGACTTTGTCCAAAATAAAACTGCGATCAAATCTTCGCAAATCATTTCAAGCAACTTAAAACATTCGCTTATCCCATCTGTTGCGAATTGTGCCAGATTATATGCTCTTCCCAAAATTCATAAAAGTGGTATTCCTTTCCGCCCTATTGTATCAAATTTAGGTACTGCCTCGTATCCATTAGCTAAATATTTAGTTTCTAGATTTTCAACTCTATTAGACAATAACATTTACACCATAAAAAATTCAATAGAGTTTGTAAAAAAAGGTTAAAAACATTTCTCCTAGTAATTTACTCATGGTTCCTTTTGATGTAAAATCATTATTCACCAATGTCCCAGTGGAGGGTGCATTAAGATGTCTAGAAACCAGACTTCGCGAATTTCATTTCTCTTGCATCGAAATTGATGAGCTAATTTCTCTCACTCAACTCTGTTTGAAACAAACACATTTTGTTTTCCAAAATAATATTACAAGATTACCAAAGCAAATTAGCCATGGGAGGGATTAGCCATGGGAAGCCCCCTCAGTCCCATCCTGGCTGATATCTACATGCATTATTATGAATCAAAATTGTTTGAAACTTTAAACTTCCCGGCATGGTTCCGCTACGTAGACGATACTTTTACCCTGTTTGAAGGTAATAAAGATGATTTAAATAAAGTTCTTTCAACAATGAATTCTATTGATCCTGCTATTCAGTTCACTTTTGAACTTGAGACTTGCAATTCTCTTCCGTTTCTCGACATTCTGGTCACACGTAACACATCCAACTTCAGTACTACGGTTTACCGTAAACCTTCATCGGTTTGCCTTCCACCACACTTTAAATCATGTCATCCGACTAAACAAAGTTAAAACAAAAGTTTAGCTTCATTTTATTCCTATGTTTTCCGTGCTCTTCAAGTTTGCTCCTCCAAACTAGCCCTTGATGAAGAACTAAATTATTTAAAAGCAATAGCTATTGACAGGGGCTTTTCACCCAACATTATTAATCAAGCAGTTAAAAAATTCTCATCTCAACACACTAAAAGGCCACACTCTTGTTTTAGGAGATTATAAAAATTCTGTTGTCATTCCCTTCTTTCCATCAATTAGCTATAAAGTTGCACATATTTTGCAGAAATTTAACTTTCGGGTGTGTTTATTCTCCCATCAATAAAATTCCGAGTTCCATACTCAAGGACCCCATTCCGGATATGAATTCCTGGGGTATTTATAGGATTCCTTGCCAGTGTGGTTTAATTTACATTGGCCAAACTAAGAGAGCCTTAAAATTTCGCGTCAAGGAACATGAGGCATATGTTAGAAAAAAGGAAACACAGAAGTCTTCTGTTGCTCAACATTGTTGGTCCGAAAATCACACTTTCAATTTTTCTGCTGCCAAAATTATTCAAAAAACATCTTCCATTGGAGAACTGGATTTTCTAGAGGCATTTCACATTCATAAAAATCTTTCTGTTCTAGTTAACGATCCTAATTCCAATCCAAATTTGCCTTCGGCCTTTAAAGAAATTATGTTTTAGTTCTGGTTTCACCAACAGATGGCGCCACTTGCTTATTCTTGTCCAGGCTTTCTTATCTTATCTAATCATTATTTCCTATCTTGTTCATTTGCAGTTTTGCAGCTGAAGATGGTGGTTCGGTAAAACCATCGAAACTAGTCCTGAAAAAAAAAATTTTTATAAATATAACGCTGATTTTTGTTGTTTGACTTCTGAAGAACGTACATGTTTAATTTTGTCTTAGTTTGAATGGCGATTAAGATTCATTATCCATAAATTAGGCAAAACATGTACATGACAAGTCTAAGTCGTCAAATGTGCCCAAAGGGTTTATTGTACAAAATTGAAATCTTATTTCGATAATATAAGCTATAATTTTTCCTGCTACTTTCAAAACTGAACTATTTAGGCCTGTTGAGGACATTCCAAGCCATGCCATGACACCAAATGACTAACTTCTAGAGTCACTAAGATATTTTTATGCTGCAGACGTAAAAAAATGTGCAATGCCCTCGCCGGGACTCGGACCTCTCGAATACGCGCCGAGCTTGCTGACCATTACACGACGAAGGCATGCTAAGAAGGCGAGAGAAATACCTTATGTACTAGGACGACTGGGGATTAAGGGAACCAATCGCCAGATACTGGTGGTGGAGAAGTATCATCCACTACTCTTTTTAGTTCGGCCGCTACTGTAGAGTCATCAGGTTTTTTTTTTTCTTCTTTTTTTAAAAGCAGGAAACTGAAGAAACGTGCAGTGCCCTCGCCGGGACTTAAATCTCGCACCTCTCGAATACGCCCCCGAGTGTACTGACCACTACACTACGACTGCACAGGGATTGGCCGCGGATCAAAGAAACATCTCTCCCATAACCCTGTAGGCAAACTTTGCATCATTCAATTCAGGTCCATGATTAACACAGTAAATTCCACTCCAATGGACTATCTCCCTCTTTCTTTTCAAACACATTAAAAAAGAAATATGCATCAGAATGAAAAATTATTTTAACGTAAAATGGAAATCAATGTACGCAATTATAAAAAAACAAAACATACTTGAGATATTCCAGGCTCAAATTTTGGGACTGCTAAGAAATTTGTTTCCACCGGAAACCGTAGCAAATATATCACAGACGAAAACGTAGCGGAGAAAAAAAACATAAAGCGAAACTGTAGTCGTACGAAAGACCGTAGGAGAAAAGAAAGCAAGTAAAAAGCGTTACAGTTCCTAAAACATCATGGTACAAACATGATTCCTAAAACATCATGGTACATCGAAAATTAAAGGATTAAAAAAATGTTCGCTATTTAAAAACATCACCGTTGAAAATATCAAGGTAAAAATTAAAGCGCCTACAAATCATCGCACCACGATAACATGCATTTTCACGAAGACATGCGTTTTGGGATTTTATAAATTCGCATATTCTCATAATGATTTGTGAGCGCAAGAAGGAATAAGGAATAATTAACATTAAATCCTTACTGATATTCCTATTAGGCAAGATATTTTCTGAAGTAAGCGTTTGACTGAGGATTCTATTTTTATAAGATTGCATGTTTTGAACTGGAGATGGTATTTTAATATATTGACAAAACTTTGCCAAGTGGCCATCGAAATACAATTTTTCGAAGCTTTATTTTGGAGCATAGTTGAAAATACTCGCTTCTAAAATTGCAAAACTCTTCTCTCTCCAAATTTTGCTGCAGTTTTGATTTTTTTAAGTTGTAAAATTGCTCGCTTGAAAAGTTTTATTTCTAAGATAAAGCGATACATAGTATGCCTCAGCTCTTCTCATGGTTTGCGAAGTTTTGCCACCTAAATTTCATCAGATATATTGAATCGACCGACATAAACATCCCCAAATTCATTAAATTCGATTCAAAAATAACAATAAGCTGTTTATATTAATTCTTTTTACACAAAAATTTAGATATTTTTTTTCTTTTTCCCTCTATACATTTTGTAATTAAATAAATTTCTAAGAATTTTTAATTTCTAGAAATCCGAGGATATGATATCCATACCGCCATTAGAAATGCCGCAAACTGTGGACAGGTTAAAAGAAGCTTTAAGGCCAAAGTCTCAAGAGGAACCAGTACCGATTCCATTGTCATCAGATCATCTACAGAAAGATGTCTCCCAAAGTGCCTTAGAGGATAAAGATAAATCCAGTCAACCTCAGAGAACAGTTCGATGGATGGACGACACCAAAGATTCTACTCCCGATGAAGGTTCAACAGTGAGCAGTTCTGACAGTTTCCATTCTGCTGAAAGTTTAAGGGAAAGATCTTCCTCAGAGGTTAATCTCATTCATTATTAAGACCCTAAAAACTTTTATTTACTTCTAAAGCGGAAGTTAGTTCATTATATTTATATAAATCAGTACTACATTCCCATATTTTTCTCATACGCAAATTCTTCGTTGCAGTAATATACTTTCTATAATTTTACTTAAAATGTAACTCTTACTAAATTTGTTAAATTATATCCTAAAGTTAGGCAGTATATACCAACTAACTGAATATCGAACTAAGTACCTGATTTATATGAATTCCACGGAACATTCAAATTCCTTCTCCAGTCTAACTCAATCATGGCTAATAACATAATTTTAAAACTGCTGTAGAGAATATTAAGTAGTTTTGAGGCACAGAAAAGTAAAAAATTCAATGTGCTGTCACCAGGATTGGAATCACGGATGGCTGGCATTGTGATTAGTGATATAGCATCAGTCAAATAAGTTCCATAAATGTTGTAAAGATTATGTTAATTTTATTAACAGTTAAATTTTAAGTTGAAGTTCCTTTCCTGTCAAATTCTTAACTTCAACTTACTACTTCCGGCCAGAACGTAGTTTTGGAATCTTGCTGAATATTTAATGAGGAGGAGCGGTATTTAAACCACGAAGTTACTTACTGAGTCAGAGAAAATCAGAGTTTCTGATTTACGCGCGTCTGCCTTTTTGGCCACTCTCCCTCTCAAGCTGTTATTACGCTCGGCCGTACTCAGGCCCTTGCTAAGCTTCGTAGTCAAATAAGTTAAGGGGCCAATTCGATTTGAACCTTGATAGCTTCGGCTATACTTCTTTAGTTAATCTTAGTTTTAGTTTAATTTTTAGTCTATTAAGTTCAAGTCCAAGTGCGGGCTTTGCTTGTACACTCCCAGGCGGAGTTTTGTTAAATCTTATTGGAATAATAAAGGGTTAGTTACCCTTCTATCTTGTTGTTTCTTGCCACCGAACTCAAGCGATTATTCGCTTATCAGTTCTTAGATTCTTCACTTCCAACATTAACTTAGAATTCCAAAGTGAGGAACTCTACAATGTTATGAACAGTTCAGAGACACACTCTTGCATTTTCGTTTTAGGGTCCTAGTGTATCTTGCTTGTATCAAAGTCCTGCAGACCCTAATCGTGTCATCGCTTAGTCTGAAACATATCAAAAGTCTAAAAGGAGGTTAAAATAAACTTTTTTATTTAAGTCTTAATAGAAATGCATAGCGTGTGCAAAAAATGAACTTCTATTACTTGCGTGTATTTAAATTAACATTAGATAATGTCTAATTTAGGCAAAATGTTTGAGACTATAACACAAAATAATCTACTTAACCTGGCTCAGATAGCTTAACGACACGTTAATTTAAACATTGGCTAAAAAGACTCTAGAGCAGAAATACAATTTAGGTACAGCTGAAGATAGTAAGTAACAGGAAGATGAAGCTGCCAGAAGTTCTAATTTTAACATTCAAAATCCTCAGCTTAAGTATACAAAACAACTAATTTGCATTCTGATGAGAACTACGGAAAGGAGAAATTATAGTAAATGCTTAAATCACGATAATTTGTAAATTAACATAAAATACTTTATATCCTAATTAAAATCTTGTGACTATTTATAAGCGTTTAGTTATTTTATATTAAGTTAGTTAAATTTTCGTGTAATTTTGAAGGATCCTTTTTCTTATCTTTTAACGATACAATTCGGTTAATGTTACTAAAATAACCGTCGACAAACGTGATCACATTTAGTGGCGCCTACTGTATAATCATAAAGACCGTTGTATAATCATAAAGATCATTAAAAAAAAAAAAAAAAAAAACCTGTATTTGCTTCTTGAGATTTGAAAACCAGTTAATTAAAATTTTACTTTTGAAAAAGAAATATCCTCACAATTTTTGGTGGAAAAAAGTGTAAAAAAAGTAAAATGTGTGATCCTGCAAAGTACACAATAATATAATATAATAAAACTAAGATATAGCAGCTAAATATATATTGTCTTTCAGAGTTTTATTGAAATGTAGCATACACTGAAAATCTTTGATTATGATGGTGTTTAATATTTATTATTCAGGTGCTGGAAGTAATTCCAACATTACCGAGTCAACGAAGAAATTCAGACCATCCAATGCTAGAGAGATCTACATCAGAAATAGTAACTTCTCCTGACGATCACGTCAGATGGGTTGGTGGAGTGGTTCCAGTGTTAGAATCTCTATCACCAGAATTTCTAGCTAATATTCCAGTTGTAATTCAAGGAGGATTTTTTAACAAGCAGAAGTCATCAACAGCTGAAGGAGAGAAAAGTCCGTTATAACAACGTTTTATTTCTTTCACTGCCAGACACTCTATACAGTCAAATATAACACTGTTATGCGAACTATTTAAATTGCAATTAAAATGAACTGTACCTGTGTTTGGTGCTACTATAAATATTGGTAAGAAGAGTAATTAGCAAAGAGAAGCTGATAAATCATAATTATTTTTTGCAAATGCAAATTTCGAGAAATATATAAATTTCGAGAAAATTATATGTTATAAATTTCGAGAAAATTATATGTTATAAATTTCGAGAAAATTATTCGAGAAATATAATGTGGTATATTCACAGTTTTAGAAAACTATTTTATTGACTTATTATTTGCAAATATTATTTAAATATTTCTAAAGAACTTCTAAAGAATATAAGTATTTCTTTTGATAAGGGAATAAATAACCTAATTCCGCGGAAGTTCCAATAGAGTGATAGATATATGATATTGAATAATATGATTTTAAAATTCATTTAAACATTTCTGTTTCCAGATATTACAAGTATGATTGCTTCGGGGAGGGAGGATTTTCAATAAAAATAACTCTCCATGAATTTTCTCATAGGTTCATTAAGTAATCGTTCGTAGAAGCCAGGCAATGTGCAATGTATTGTTAGAAGCTTTTTTCACCCAACCCCTTAATATCTGTGTTTTAATTTAGTAATATGAGAACATTTTTGAAAAAATACAGCTTGCATTCAAAGAAATTTGCATTGTACTATTAGTTCTGGAAACCTGAAAGAAAGGAATTTTTTTTTGAAAGTAAGTGAGAGAATAATTAAAATGTCATCAGCACCATGTCCAAACCAAGAATCTGCAAAATTATTAGAAAATTTCGAGAAAAACGTGTTTAAAAGTTTCATAGGTTCTAAGAGTTTTGAATTCCGCAAAATAATATTTTTATACTTCAAAGGAAATAGACGTAGAAGAACTCATTTTAATATAATATAAGACACTGAAAAACAACTGAAACGTATATAAGCAAATGAAAACGATAAAAAATGCAATTTCATGGTCTTACCGAGGTTTTGAATAATAAAAGTTTCTAAATAATGCCACATTTTTACAGTTTTTGTAGCTGTATCTTTTTCGTACAACTCTTATCTAATATTTTCAAATGCAAGCAAAAATACGGCAGTTTATTGTGATTGAATGCATTGTATGGATTATTGTTTATTAATATGTAAATAATAAAATTCATTGTACACAAAAGTATTCAAAAGCTAGTGCATTTAATTCTTGTTAAATAATTTCATATCTGAAGTTCCTAGTTTGTACTATCGGATATTATTCATTTATTAAAGTAAAGCATTTTGTAGAAAGCCTAAACTCATTATCGATTAATGTCTATATACTTCCAGCACAGTGATTCAAAATGACCCAACGTCAAATTACTTTACCTCTGAAATTTGCGGAGGCATGAGTGATAAATGAAATATAAGAAAAACTGCCCAAGTTTTATGTGACTTCTTTCAGTTACATTAAAACAAAAAGATAATAATCATATTCCATACTTGCTCAGCGCAAGGTACAGATAAGACCGTCTAAGCATTGCATTCCTTCAGTAGCACCTAGCGCCCACTTCCTCACCACCCGTGTTTTCAAGCGTGATGAACAGGCGTGATTTCAAGCGTGATTATGAGAATTTATCTGGACCTACTTTAATCTGAAGTCTCAGACTCAGGGGTTGTAGGCCTAGGCAGCAATCAGATCTCCAAATTACATTTTGTTACCTTTCTCGCAGCAACCGCTGGAGAAACCCGCTGGTTTTACGGGAAAAAAAAAAAAAAAAAAAAAAAACCATCATCAATATTTTAAGGCATTATGGAGCTCCGAAGTTTCCTTTCTCATTTTATGTATATCAAATTAAGGAACAACTAATGGATACAGAATTATCCTCATCTGAAATCGAATGTATCATTTTGAATCACCTTTTACATTGTTCGATAATGCAGGTCAATATTAACCAACATTAAGTTATATATTTTGGATGCACTAGGCTTGAAAAATATCAAAAAGCACATATTACATTTTTATTACTATGCAATATGCATTTCTCACCAATATTGTATATAAACATTTCTGGAAAACAAATTCTAGTCTCTGTTTCATAAATCTGTATTGGTAGTTGCTTTAATCTTCTTCTTTTTACGTATTTTAATAATACAATCTATTTTGCATTTTGTGTACTCAAGAAATAATGTTTATTGATAGATAAATCAACGGAAATATTTGAAATGCTTTCGAATCACGTGTCTTTCTCAAAAAATATATTTTCTGAAATAAATAATATTGTGTGTTCAAAAGCAGATTTCAGATTTTTCTTAACAGACGAATTTGAAAATATGCATATGAAATGCATAAATACTCCTTTGATGTGTAAAATAATTTTCTTAAGAATATAAAAGTTTATTAAAATGTATATCTTATGTTCATTTCTCACACTTTTGCTGATTAAAAAGCCCTTTTCATACCTTGATGTGATGCACTACGGATCCGCGCATGTTTTACAGTAACTGTTATTCTGAAAAATTGAATGCACTGTACTTATATTCAATGTTAAAATAAGCTAACTTCCACTCACTGCAGTTTTGTGAATTAAGAGCTTGTATGATCAGTGGCAGATATATATACTGCGGGCACTAGCCACTTTTAGGCTTTCGCTACTATTAAGGCTACGTTGGTCATTTTATTATGCAGGCACCTAATTGGTGGCCACCATTACCTCCTAATGACGGAGCAGACAATTTACATCTATGCCTTCTCTGTATCCACGTACATATATGTGAATATATTCACAAATATATGTCTGCAAATGATCTTCACAATATCAGACAGATATTTGTGAATCATGAGTAATGACTTTTTTAAAGATTTATTTCTCAGGATTTCAGTTTTATCTACGGTAAAATAAAAATTTAAAAAAAAATGTATAAAAATCCCCCCCACAAACGGAGAGACCCCCCCCAAAAAACCTGAAAGGTTTCAGATTTTAAATTACGTCCAAAGCGGCGTTTTCTAACATTTTGTGTGTTACCTTTATTTATTAAATATCATGTTCTTCGCATTTAAACCATAAAATTCGCTGGAGATAAAAATGTTTTTTCTGTACAACGTTGCCATTGCTCGCTTTGAAATCCCTGAGTTTGTTAATCGAAATTCGTTAAAGTTTTACAAAATATGAAATCAACAAACAAAACATAAAACAAATTCCAAATTTCAAATTTGGGCTTCCACATGCCCATATTCGCAGTAGGATTACGCCATTCAAAATTTGATGGCTCTAGATATCGTTATTTTATTACCATGAGAAACATACATACATTTATGCAGATTCATCATTATTTAAATTCTTCAAATATAATACAGGGCGATAATATTTGGTGGCAACAGTTTGAAAAGTGAAACGGACATTCAAAGTGATTCGACGGAAAATCGCAAAATGAAAACAATAGTCCTTTAGGGACAAAGCCCTTTTGGACTAATAATAGTCACCGGACTAATAATAGCCACCATGTATATGGCGAAATATTGGCAAATTCAGTGCCTTATTATTTTCCAGGTCTTCCTCCTAATTCTAGCTATAGTTTTAATAGCAATATTTAACTACAGTAAACCCTCGTTGAACGAAGGGGTTACGCCATTAATACATAGAGCATATGGACTTCGTCTCAGAATTTCCAGACTTGGCTTCCGGCTGAATTTGAAAGTTCAGATTTCATACATAGCTCACATATCGCGCTACCTTTGTGCCTCCTAAGTCACGGGCTATTTTTACTAATATGTACTTAAGTCTTTATTAACTAGTTCCTTTTTATTTTACCTAAGATTATCGTAGGCTAGCATTGAGAATCAAAATGGTTTTGATCAAAACAAATTGATTTGGGGTCAAAAATTGATCAAATTTAAGAATTTTAGAATTCTGAGACGCCTACAAATATACTCTTAAACGCAGCCGAGCACGGATTTGTGGAACGCAATTTCACTTATACGCGTCAAAATTGCCTTCGTTTGATTTTTTCAAAGCTAGAATTTCATTCATACGCTGTTCAGCGTTCATTCACTAGCTGAGTGCTTTATAGCATCAGCTCCGCCCAGAAGTTCTCAATAATTTTAAATGATTTGCAGCGATCATTATATTACCCTTATTTTGCTTTTCAGTAATTTCGAGATGAAGAAAGTATTTTAAATATCTTGGCGACTGGTTGAGTTCAGCGTGAGATCGGAGTGTTAAGATATTTCCGGGTTAACTTTATCTTTAGGTGCACTTTACATTGAGCTTGTGTTTCACGTTCTTAGTAGTTTGAAGTGTAACTACTGATTGTACTCTGCGATACTACGAATACGTGTAACCCAACAGAAACAAAAAAAAATCCTGTCTCTACAGCACTTCATCGATGGCATCCCGGATCCTGAAATACAGAAAGCGCTGCGAATGACGGATGTCAAGGATTTAAAAAGTGCTCTAGTGTACGCCATGAAATTTGAGGCAGCCCAGCAAGCAACTCGTAGAGACCGCAACCGAATCAGAGCTGCTCAAGTCGAGGAGTCAGTGGATCAAGTGACTGTTCATATAGGCGTTAACCAGACAAGTCAATGCGTTGAGACGGAATAAGAGTGACAAGAAACCGTCCCTAAAGTGCTAGAACTGCGGTGCTGAAAGCCACGTACGAAAAAACTGCAGAACACCCCAGGCCACGAAAGCTAAGATCGTTCTCAGCAAGAAGCAGGGAAACTAATTATTGGCCATCTCGCTAGGAGGTTGCCAGATAATGAGAAGCCCCATTTCAAGCGCTTCAGATTTCTGCAATGAGTGGCGGCAATGGAGTTTCATCATGGGCCATATGGATTTCATCATGGGCCAATAGAGTTTCTTGTAATATTGTCATCGATACAGGAGCGAATCTTACTATCATTCGAAAAAAGATCTGACTCAACAACTGGAAGATAAACGCATCTTGACTTCGCTTTGCATTACCCTCCAGAGTGTATGCGGCGAGAAGATCGACATCGATGGAAAATTAACGTTTACATCACGTTTGTAAGTACGGCCTACCATCACACGGCATATGTGACAGATATTACAGATCCTTGCATATTCGGATTGGACTTTCTAAGGAAATGAAAATTTTCCTTGGACTTTAAAAATAACGAACTACATTCTGTCTCTGAGGACATAACCCTATTCGTAATTAATGATGAAGGAGTTAAATCTGTGCATCAAATCACAGCTCAAGACGATATCACAGTACTAACATGAACAAAAATTTTTACTTCCTGGATTGATAGCCGAAAATAGAAATTTCCTATACGGTGTATTGGAATATCTCTAACACCACGCGTGGAATACTGGTAGCCTCGGCACTTGTCGACTTATCGAAGATAGTTATCCCGGTGAGAGTTGCGAACGTCAGTGATAAAGTGAAAATCATTAGGAAAAGTGAAGTGGTTTCAGAATGTGCTCCAGTGACCAGCGTTAAACGAAATAGCAACCCTCCGCAATCCATGTCTTCAGAGAGCATTATATCGGAGTTATTTCAGAATGTACAATTAAGCGATGAACAGAGGAACGCTGCCGAACGTGTCATTCAAGAATTTCAAGATGTTTTCTCCCGTTTGTCTTGGATTGAACCGTTTGACACAACATAGAATCGATACCTGGGACCATCCACCAATCAAGCAAAATCCAGGGCGCCTACCGATTGCTAAACAGAAAAAAGGTAGGAAAATTTTTAAAGAACGTACAAAAAAAGTGATGTTGCGAGATTTCAGCAAGTGCGTGGCCTCTCCTATCGTCTTGATCAGAAAGAAATACGGCTCAACTAGATTTTGCGTTGAGTATTGCCAACTGACCGAGGTTACGAAGAAAGACAACTACCCTCTTCCTAGAATCGATGATATTCTGGATTAGTTTCTGAAAGCAAGTGGCTTTCGACGTCAAGACTTTTGACGATTTCAGCAAGTGCGTGGCCTCTCCTATCGTCCTGATCAGAAAGAAATACGGCTCAACTAGATTTTGCGTTGAGTATTGCCAACTGACCGAGATTACGAAGAAAGACAACTACCCTCTTCCTAGAATCGATGATATTCTGGATTAGTTTCTGAAAGCAAGTGGCTTTCGACGTTTGATTTAAAAGAGTGGATATTGGCAGGTAGAGATACATTCTGATGACCGGAACTGCTTTCAAAGTTCTCTGCCTACTTGTAGGTATTAAGATTGTCATTTATGTTTTGTAAATTATTTTGAAGGGTTCTTTTTACACGTGTTTGCCTAAAATGCGAGTTATTTCGTCTTAGTTTACTTGCATGAGATTACGCAATGCGAATTACTTTCCCTTCAGAAGACTTTCACAAAAGCATTCATCCCAAAGTAGATAGCCCGCCGGCGAGTGCTTTGCTTTAATTTATTTATCAAATAACCAGAATGAAATGTAAACGTAAATTTACGATAATGTTTCCAAAATATTACTTTTTCCATTTTTCTGTCTCTCTTTATGCAAGACAGATAATCTGCAAGTAAGTACTATGTCAATAAAGACATGCTCATTATTGTTTAAGGCCATTCATTTGAAATAAATGTACTAGTATATGGTTGTTGGCAGTAGAAAACATATACAAACTTTTTTATCTTGGACAACACCTTTAATCACATTTAAATACGAGTATCAAAGTTAACTGATTTGAAATATAGCTTTCTTTTAAGTGAGAAAGATGAGAAAATCAGTAGTGAGTGTTGCCTCCACATTTTTCAATAACCGCTGCTACACGCCGAGGCAATAAGCGAAAGGTGTTGCTGGGAA